CTTGTCAAAAAATAAAGAGTAAGATAAGAAATTGAAAAAAAAACTTCAGTTATTTCATTCCTCTATTTTGTGAAAAAACTGTTCACGGTTGTTACTATAAACAGTACTTTCATTTTTGTGACATTTCTTTTTAAAAAACATTTTTATGACAAAATGTTTTATGTTTCCCTTCACAGCAGCATTTCATGCCCAACTACCACTTATGTCTGGAAATCTTCAGTATGTGTTTGTATTATTAATAATGAAAAGGGTAATATTGAAATACTTTCACACTGAACGTTACAAAGTGAATAATTTAGGTTTTATGTTACAGAGCTTAGCGTGCGCAACTATTACATTAAATGATAAGTACGAGGAGTGTTCAAATATGAATGCAAATAGGCGGATGTCTCGCTTTTAACCACGTTTTGCGCGATCTGTGTACATATATCACATACTTGTAGATGGTTGTGTAAGCTCTCAGTTAATACAGTACATGTGTCTAGTTTTGACAATCGCTCGATTAACGCTATCTACTCGTGTATACTTGAGCTAAAATAGTCGGGAAAAGGTCTCCTTTCACTGACCAAATACGGCCGTTTATCAAGAAACACTGTAATCTTTATATCCAGGCAAAAGACAAATTTAATGAAATATGTCGTGTTTATGTGACACCCCATGGTGTAATAAATTTAAAAGAAGTGTGGATTTAGTAATAGATGCACCTCATGCCCGCCGTTCGAAAACTGTACCTTCGCCATAAATGGTTGAAAAAGTAAAGGATATGATTGCTACTGATGCAAGATTTATAACTAAAATATGATAAACAAGATCAACAAGGAAAGGCGGCGTTTAATGAACGCAACGCCCTTACGACCCAGCAACAAGAACCAGTGGCAAGCAGCCCAGGCGGACCCAAACGAAAACAGGACAGGACACAAGACAGAGCACGGACAGGTTAATCACTAAAATGATAAATAATTTTTAACTAATAAGGAATTAAAAGTAAACAAATACATGATTAAAAAAATAGAAAATAATTTGTAATTGATAAGGAATACAAAGAAAACAAATAAAGGATTGAATAATAAGCCCAAAAGGGCACAGGGAAACTAGCCAAATGCGTTGGTATCTCTGTAGGAGCCGCTCATACATTTCTCAGTAAAGTTCTCAGCTTATTGCTCCGCCAAGGATTTTTGGACACTGCATATGTTTCTTATCCCAAAAGGAATCCTGAATATCAGTTTGAAATCTAAAAAGTGCATGTTTCTCTATGTTAAGGTGTACAGTGCACAAGATTGTATATTTTTTTTCATTTTAATGACATCAAATCACCTAAGAAGTTTTAGGTTACTACCAGCTATGCTCAAGACAAAACTGGGCATGTGTACATAATAATAATAATAGTAAAAAGCAGTGAATTGCACAATAATGATACCTTTCATAATTTTGTAGTTATTTCCCTTGGTTATTTATCATGCTTAATTATTGTTCAGAACATAACACGTTTTTGGAATCATATCAACTTAAACGTTCAGGTAAACATATCTCCTTAAGGAGCAGTGCATTTGCACAAGAATATTAATTTAAATTTTAAGTAATTGTCTTGCAAATGTTTTGTCCGGACCATAATTCTTGACATTAACGACAACTCTCCTTTGTCAATTATTATTTTCAATGCTTAAGCTGCAATTCTTTTCGAAGCTATTGAATTTACTCAAAATGTCTACGAGATGTAATCTTGAAACTTCATAGGTGAATACCTCTCATATACAAGCTTTGTACTGTTGGGGTGTTGCCCATCGACGTGTATCAAAATATCAGTGTGAGCAACTAAACTAGATCCTCTTTTTATAACTTTTTCTCCAATTTGATTGGAAAATTTGGCTAACTCTCACTGCCTGTTGTTTTGCTTCTTTTTATTTAGATTTTGTCTCAACAACTTGTCTATATCATTTTGTAGTTATTTCTCAGATTATAAATTGATATTTTAATGTATTGCAGTCATTTACAGGGCATGGAAATTATACGAAATTCTTGAATCAGTTATCAAAATATCGGAATAATTCAGATATGAAGACAATTTCTTGCAAATGCTGACCTTGCTATTGTGCCGACTCCTGTTTGCATTTCATGCCCTGGTGGGCCCGTTGCCGGTGGTCTTGTGTAACTGTTTTTGTTTCGTGATGCGTCCATAGGTACGCACTCTTTCTTCTTGATCTTTGTCGTCATGCATGAATATGTTCATGAATGTACAAGTATTATGCGAAAGTTTGAAATGCTGTAATGACATATTTTATGAGGATTGTTAGACAATACATAACATGACTTGAAAATAAATTATTATATTTTTTTAATATCTTTCTTCAGCAATCTGGTCCCTAGATAAAGGGAATTTTAGTGTCACCTATACATCTTGTTATTGTTAAATTAGTAATTTGGCATTACGTGGTTTGTGTTGTATACTAATGGACATGAATTTATGGTCACTTCCAATTTATGGCTTTTAAATCAAATTGAAAATATATCTGTGACGGGAGTCGCAATTCTTACATTTAATATATGCAAGTAAATTCGTAAATTTCTCGACAACAGCAAATAACATTTTATATTAATATAAGGGAAAATAACATGCTGTAGGTCAAGATAAGATCAAATTTATGTTCGTAGAAATGAAGAGGCCGTTATAATTTCTGCCTTCTAAGGAGGATTTTCAATGTCGAGAAGGTAATAATCACGGTTTTACAAACTATTAGCTTGTTACCATCAAAATTATTCCTACAAAATCTACTTCATACGAAGCTTTAATCAGTTGAGCATTGAACATTTTATTATATTTAACACGGTCGGCATGTACCGTACGCTTCATATGCAAGACTTCCATAAACGACTGATCGTCTGTCTCAAAAGAGAAAATACGGAATCTCTTAAGAACATCAAATACATTTTTATTAAAAATATTGCAGGCTAAGTTTTAAGTTTGATTGAGCCTGTTCATGGACAGTACTGGAATGTAAAAGCTACCGTTTACGACCCAAGCAACGGCTTTAACGAATTTAACATGAAAATGGCGAATGTTGATCTGCAGATGTGTTCATACTGTTGGTACAATTCATGTGACCTAAACGAAAAACTAATAGGTGAATTTAAATAACATTGAATTTTGAAAAGGGTTCAGAAGTTATGAAGCCTGCATGTCACAGATAGGCTGTCAAAAGTAAAACAAGCGAATTTTACACACGCGTAAAATAGCTGCGAAGGAATGGTGTTTTAGTATAACAATAAATGCTACGTAGATGAATGTCTGATTAGATTTGCGCAGTACTAATGTTGAAATTAAAGGGGAAGCATTACGACACGAACATGTCATTGTGTCGTGCTAGAAATACACATAAATCCAATTCAACACCAATATAAGTAAATTGAATTTCCATTTGAGGAAAATGTAAATAAAAATATTTGCAACAAAGCAAAAAAATTTAAATTGGTCCAATGAATGTGAATGTTTTCATACACTTTTGTTTTTTATTGACGCAAAGTAAAGCGTATCATTCCGCAATAAATCATGCGTCTAATTCAAATTCCTATTGACTCGGCTGCTTCGCAGTCGAATAAATAAAACAGGCAACATATCCTTAGAGTAAGAAAACAGTATTCAAGTGGGGAATACTGGAGCGAATAATGCTTCATATATTAAAATCAATTTGTGTCGGGTTTTAAATGCCTTGTCCTATTTTTGTTTAACAAAGTTTACACAGCAATATTTTGTATACAAGAAACATGTACAAAGTTATATATTAATGTCTTTATGCTTATCAAATGTTATTATTAATTGTTTCAGGGCATGTTAATGGTAAGACCATTACCTACCTGTATTCATTTATTGCGTATACATTACATGTACAAATGACTAGTTAAAGTACATGAAAAATCATGTATTAACCACAGTAAATTAACATATATATCTGGAAAAATTGATCCCTCGGAAGCATGAAAGTCAGCAAAATAACATGAAAATTGCAGACCTGTTCAAAACATGAGCCTGTACATGAGGGTAAAATAAAGTTTAAAACACATCTCCTAGCGCTGGCTTGAGCTGTAATCAATGATCCTGAAGGACCAGAAAAATATAACAGCACTGAAATGAAGTACAGGGGAACTTTAACTGCTGTCACACGGCACGTGACACTTGCTTTTGTGAGGTATAAATATCTCATGCTCCATGAGAAGCATCAAAATCTGCAAAATTACATTCAAATCGCAGGCTCGGTTTGATATAAATCTGTACATGAGGGATAGTGAAAAAGTTTCATCCATTATGCCGGCTTGAGTGGTAATGGGGATGTTGCACTTTTTCATTATCCCTCATGTACAGACTGAATCAATCCGAGTCTGCAATTTTCATGTACTTTTGTCCAGATATTTCAACACTTGACTAACCTACCGATGTTTTATATTCAGTGAATCGAGTGCTAATATTCAGGCAAGAAAATACCGCGAGTTTCTTTTTCACAAAAAATGTCCGTTTTTTTTCATGTCTCAAGCACAAGCAGCTCAAAAGCCAAAACATAAAGAAGTTTGAGAAGTTACTAAATTAACCTGTTTTTCAGTCAATGATTCTATGTAAATTTTGAAAACAAAATGAATGGTGAAAATATTGTTTAGTGAATTACCATTGAATATTGTTTGTATGAGTTAAGCTTAAATAATACTAACACAATGAAAAATATTATTACATCATGCTACATTTTCAATATTAAGGGCAGATATCTAGCGAACGAGGTTTCAAACCCCAACTCCATCTCTTTCCGCTTTAAAAGATGTTTCCGTCATAGTATTCTAAGCTTATGCAAATATGTAACAAAATTTATTGTACACTTTTCATTCCACTTACATAAGGTAAAATTTCCATTTGGCAAATTTTAGTAGAACTGTGGTGATAGTTAACTCTTAATTAGTAGTGAGTATCTCCTAATAAGAGATAAAAAACAAACACAACAACAGAAAACTGAAAACAACGTTTTTATTGGAAAGTTCTACACTAAAAATGGTAAATAACCTAAACGATGTATACTCTTTATGTTTGATTTATATTCTAATTAAATAAGTTGACCATGTTTAATGCATGTAAGTGTCTTAAATCTCTTTATCATTGTCGAAATGTTTCATTTGTTTTATTTTTTTACTTTGATCGTTAAAAGTAATACCTTCTTCTTTATGCCGTAAACACTCACTTTAATGAACTACAAAAATAATAAGCGACGCTATACTGATTATTTCAGACGGCTAGCTTCAGCAAAATGATCAATATTAGTATTACATAAATAATAAACACAACAACGAAGGAGTTTATAGACATACAAAATTATATTTACAAACTTTTCTTATTAATTATTGAATTTTCTAACAAAATGTTGTAAATATCTTTTAATGAATATAATTGCAGAAGCATGACAATCCTGAGGACTCTATTATAGTAATCTGATCATATATAATGAATTGAAAGTTCCGCCAAAATCAGGAAAGTCAAAGTGAACATCTTGTGCCGAAAATATATCAATATTCTGGTCGAGCATGGGCCTATTAACCGGTTTACGTGTACGTTTTTGATCACGATAATTAATGCCCCAGAAACATGAAATAACTCTGCCACTTTGCCGATCGCATACATTCATACCATTTTTTCTTTCTTTTTTTTCCGAAATTGAAAATAAATTCTTCGCTGGTCGAAGCTATCGAAAAAGACATGCCCTTGAACCTGCCATAGTCAGTATCTTACCAGTACAGAATAGTATTACCCAAATCAACGTACCGTGACAGATTCCATATACGGATCTATAAAAATAATGGTTTCAATGTACGTTTTAAAACAAACAAAAATGAAACATGAACTTAATCTAGCTAAACCAATTATTCAAGTAGTTATAATTACAGAAAACCTAAGTAAAACTTTACTCATGCAGCTGAAAATTAAACATTTTAATGTCCAAATAGCATTTTTGTCATTTAGATGGTGACATATACTATACAGGTAAAGCGAAAATTGCCTTCAGGCTTAAGTTATTTGCCATATGGTGTTGCTTTGCTCATTTTCATGACAACTTATCTCAAAGTTTTTGTCTTAATGAGTGTCTGTCACACAGTTATATTCTTCTCTGCAATTTGTTTCATGGAGCGTATACGTCTACCTTGTTTTTGTAAGTTATATTTGAATAAGTTAAAACTTGAATCTTTTCCACATCTGAATAAGGCTTAACATGGTCAAATGTTATGAAGGCGTCACCGTCGATATAGATCTGAAAATAAAACAAAATTAGATACAGAAAACAATGTATGTTTGGTTAAGAATTAATCGGATTTGCAAAAGAGTAAAGATTTGTTAATATTGATTTTTGCTAGTATTTTCTATTTTTGCATTTAGAATTTATATTGTACAGTTAACCGCTAACAGTCTATCAAGAACAAGCACGATGTCAATGGAAGTCCGTTGCAATAGATATATTATTTTTACATCAATAAATAGATGTACATTAAAGGGGAAAGAAAACATCCATATATATATATATATATATATATACATGTATATATATATATATATATATATATATATATATATATATATATATATATATATATAATATATATATATATATATACATGTATATATATATATATATATATATATATATATATATATATATATATATATATATATATATATATATATATATATATATATATATATATATATATATATATATATATATATATATACATATATATATATATATAATATATATGCACCGTTGTTGCAAGTTTGCTTTTAAATTGCTTGCCTTTACGTGAATTTATCCGCTAACCTTTAATGAATACTAGTATCTGCGTGTGCAATTTTTAATGCAGTGCTAGGAATAGTGCTTATGCACATTGTGCCGTGCATTACAATCTGCAGACACACTCGGACTGAATCCGATCCCTCACGCTGCCGACTCAGGTTTGAAATGTGTCTGTAGATGTTAACGCATGCAAGAGGTATATAAAATTCTTAGTGTTTGTGTTGAAACATAATTTAAAACCGGACTTAATAAACTTGGAACAAAATAAATATGTTTAAACGTTGAAATGAAGAGGACTTTAAACATCTTTTAGCTAGCTTTATCGTATTGAGTCTTTTAATGTTTTGAGTGAAAAATGATTTTAACATGTACTTTCGATTCTGTGTTTTTCTTCATTGTACGCATAAATTTCGAATATCGTCTGTAAATTGATTCATTACAAAGTTTGTAAGGTAAGATAAATTGACTCAGATAACCAGATAATCTTAATAAATAGAGACAATTATTTATGTTTAAGTTGTTAAATACGTTCAATTTAAATCCACTGTCAAATTTGATACAACCTGCCAGTAATCAGCAAACACTTCAAATCCAATGTCGTATTCCCTCAGGTTTGTGAATGGATAAATTTGTGATTCGACTTCTACCCAGGAGTCATTTTCAAGACTATCACCCAGTTTGAATGCGGTCGATGTGTCCGTGACGCTGAGCATTTTAACATCTTCAATCGATTTGAATGTAATTGAAAATCTGCAACATAGATTAAGATTGTATCCCACCATTTAAATACTTTTATCAACATTGAAAATTACTCAAAGGTTTTATAAAGAGTGAATAAAATTGATAAACAAGTTTATATGTTGAATAAATATCCACTGCCGTATACTTAACTACTTAATGCTATCAAATACGGGAGATTATAAGTTAAAATGATGTGTCTTTATTTAGTGCTAAATGATGCACATAGTATTACGCAAAAAGCTCTTTTAAGTAAAGGACATCTTTTTAATACAAATTATCATTTTCACAATTACGTAATGTTATTATGTCATTCCGTTTAAGTATGTTACTATAAGAATCACAATTTAAAGACTTGAGTAAAAACATGTAAATCTAAAATCTAATTATCAAATTGTTGAATCTAGTTAGACCAAGCCTCTAGCCAATTAAATTTTTCCTTTGTCTCTTATCTCAAGATTTTATTTGGTCCGTGTAGATTCTGTTCCGGTTTCTGACAAATGAAATACCTAGTAAGATATTTATCCCATGAACTCTCACAAATTTGTTTTCAGTATTTCTAATGAAACGACATTCCAAAAATCGATCACTTTAAATATATTTTTTCTTTTTTTCTATATTTTTTTATTTTATCTATTTATTTTTATTCTTATTTTTTAAAGTGTTTATTTTTGACTTTCTTAAATAGCATCGAACTTTATTTTGATGCGTATGCGTGGATTCATTTCGTACTTGTTGGGCATATGTAATTTGAAACGATGGCTATGAAGGCGAAAAAATGAAAGAATCATGTTTATATGCTCGTAGTAGTATTAATAATCAGCGTTTCCTTGGTAACACATACAATTATGAGTGGTTTAATTTCGATCTGACTAGCCATATGTAAATTATAAGTCAAATGGTGATTGTCATTGGAAAAATAATTAGCATCATTTCTATATTATCATATACCTTCACAATGAGTTTGTTACAATTAAAATAATTATTGTAAATGAAAAAGTTTTATAAGAAAGGAGGGGTTTTTTTTACAAAGAACCATAATTAGCATTTGATGAATTTAAATGGTACTTTGTTATTCTTATCTTCCGTTTCATATATACTCATACATTTATGCTGTAGCTCTAACATGTGAGATAAACTGACTGAAAGATTTATTTCCAAATAGGACTTTTGGTTGTTTTGTTTTTTCTGTTTGTTGATCAGTGGGTCATGGTCCCTAATCATATTGATACAGAATGAATCTATTGTTTGTTAACCGTAACAATGTCCCTAAATCTTATATTGTTGCTCAGACTGACTGACAAACAGACAGACATAAACACATTCAATATCCCCGTCGATTTTACATTTTATCGGGAAAGGAAAATATTTACCTGTTTTCTGCATACTTCTGAATCACGAAGTGAAATCTATCCCCTACCATCGCTTTTTGTGGCAGATAATGCTGTACTTTTTCTCTTCTGCCATCCTGAAAAGCAACAAAACAAAGTAATCCTGAGTTTTATATATTAACTGGTACAACAAATACGTATCATATATGCTAGCATAATCATGGTTCCAATGGTCTTACATTTCCTCATTGTCTTTCCTATATGATAAATCAAAAACGAATGTACATGCATTAATAAGCACCCTCATTTTTTAATTTTTTTATTTAAAAACGTTAAGACATTTGCATAATTATAATATAGTAAATCTCAAAAACTCTCCAAAAATGTCTTTGAAATATCTAAAAAAAAAAGGAATACGGTATAAAACTGACACCTTATTCTAGCCTTTTATCATGTGATTTAACTTTTATATTTATACTTTTCTTTCTTGAAACATCAAAAATTATTTACCTGTGTTTGTTCCTCTGTAAAGCGGACAACCTTCACAAAGTAGTAATATTCCGGCAAGAAAATATCGCTTGTTTCTTTTTCACAAATATTACTGTCTTTGCCAAGTCTTGTTTTGACCAGATGCGAATGTAGCAGCTCAAAAGCGCACCAAAATGTATCTTTACTGTAGTCGGAAATCTTCCATTGTTGCGATGGGACTTCGTAAATGTAAGTCCACTTTTGAATTTCAAAAGAAGCAAACGCAATGTTAAATGTTGATAAAATTATAGAAAAACCTTTCATCCTTGCGTTCCAAGAACAAGTCCAACTGACTTAGCTGTTACGCGGTATCTCATGGCGAATCAATTAAACTTGACTGTTTTATCAGCATTCTGGCTTCTGGTCAATGACTGCATTTCGCATTTTAAAACAGAGGGTATGTATTACGCAAAAACAGTTTTTACAGATCCGTGCCTTGGGATTCGTGATAATAACTTTGTAACTTTTGAAAGTGACTTTAAGTAATAGATATACCATTGCTGCGTTGACGATTTCTGGGTTGGCGTAAATTATACCATAATCACGTGACCTTTCTTATGCCTTGACCTCACGAGACGAAGTCGAGTGTGGTTGCATAAGAAAGGTCACGTGATTATGGTATAATTTACGCAAACCCAGAAATCGCCAATGCACCAATGGTGTATCTGTTTTAACCTATAGCTCCGCCCAGAAACACTTACTCCTTCGATCTTAATTTGCATAGCAGAAATGACGTAAAATGAGCCGTCAATCAAATTAACATGACGCTACTGTTTTAACCTATTGCTCCGCCCAGAAAAACTGAAAATTATACCATAGGGTATGGTATAATTTACGGTTATTGGAAATTAACCTATAGCTCTTCAGCGCTTCTTATGTAAAATTCTTCCAAGTATAATTTCCAATAACCGTAAATTATACCATACCCAGACTATGGTATAATTTTCATCGGAGGAGTAAGTGTTTCTGGGCGGAGCTATAGGTTAAAACAGATACACCATTGGGGCGTTGGCGATTGCTGGGCTTGCGTAAATTATACCATAATCACGTGACCTTTCTTATGCAACCTCACTCGACTTGGTCTCGTGAGGTCAAGGCATAAGAAAGGTCACGTGATTATGGTATAATTTACGCAAACCCAGAAATCGTCAACGCAGCAATGGTATATCTATTACTTATACTTGGAAGAATTTTACATAAGAAGCGCTGAAGAGCTATAGGTTAATTTAAGGAAAAATAGCATTTTTAATTGGTTTGTACGTCGCATTAACACAGTTATATCTCGAGGTTCAAGTTTTACTGAAGGAAGGCCTCAGATGCCCTTCTGTTTATTACATTGGACGCCAATCTAGCATATTGAAAATTACATATAATGGCACTTACAATCATTTAAACGTGCTTATAATTTAGTTGTCCCCCGCCTTTTCGAAGAAGAAATGGGGATATAGCAATAGCCACCGTCTGTCCGTCCGTACGTCACACTTTCGTGTCCGGTCCATAACTATGTCATTTATAAAAAAAACTTTGGAATAACTTGGCACAAATGTTTGTTATAATAAGACAGTGTTTCATGCGCAAACCCCTGACCCCTTCCTCCAAAGTCAAGGTCATACTTGGTGATTAAAGGTCAATGGAATATGTCGTGTTCGGTCCATAACTTTCTTACCCATTAAAGAATTTTGAAAATACTTGGCACAAATGTTTACAATCATAAGACGATGTCTAATGCGTACAACCAGTCGCCTATATCTAAGGTCGAGGGCAAACTTGGAGGTAAAAGATTAACATAGTCTGTAACAGGGTATATTTCGTGTCCGGTCCATAACTTATTCATAGATCAAGGGATTTTGAAATTATGCGAAACAAATGTTCAAAATAATATCACAATGTATCATGTGCGAAAACCAGTCGCCTACCTGTAAGGTCAAGGTCACAGTTTGAAGTCAAAGATGAAGGATATATTTTGTTTCCAGTGCATAGCTTTCTCATCAATCAAGGGAACTTGGCATAAATGTTGACAATAATAACATGATGTGTCATGCATAACACCCGGACCCTTATCTCCAAGGTATGAGGGTGATCATCTTATAAAGTTTGAAGGCTGCAGGTACAATAGTTCTTGAGTTATGGAGCGGAGACGGTTTTCACATTAAGGTCCCTGTAATCTTGACCTTGAAAAAACATTGTGAAAGATGTCGTGACAATGTACTTCTTTTATACTGTGTATTCTGTTATTTGTATGCGTGTTAGATTAAATATATATTGATGAGACTAAAATAAAGAAAAAAGAATTAATGTATGTGAATAGGGGTGTCCCCATCCACAGACTGAGAAAATTTTGAAATTTGAGATTGAAACTTTTTTATTTCCTTAACTTTCTTATGCTGTTTATGGTAGCTTTGGGCTAATGTAACATCATTTTGTAAATTTATCCACTTTCTAAAGTGTCTATTTTGTTTGGTCTCTACTCTACATTTTCTAGTCTGCTGTCATTTTTCTTAAATGTTAGTATCACATCATTTTTTTTGTTTTGTTTAGTTAGTGGACCGGGCACTCATATAGGCATCCATATTACCAGCTACAGCCGCAGACGGTAAAGCCATATTGATTGACGATACTCTGTGTGGCTGAGTTATTAATGCGTTAGACTAGTAATATAAGGATTCCTTGCCCGTTGTTCCTTATAGCTTAGTATTGATTGGGCCCTAAAACAGATTCAAGAGTGTGCCGGCTTATAGCTAACACAATCGAACAAAATCTGTATAAACTAAATTTTATGAATTGAATACAGAACCCGATATGCTGACTAAATCGACGACATATTCTTGGTTCTCAAACACGGGAAATGATTGGTCATATAGCACCGTATTAGTTACATCCAAAACTTCACTTACTATTGTTAAACACTCATTAATGTTCTCATACTTTTTTAAACTGTGTCGAGATTCCTGTGTTTACACTTAACTCAATACAAAAACATACCGTCAGTACTATTGCCTTTTTAACATATAGATTTCTTTTTCGTCATTTATATCCGGATATATGTTGTATTATTAATCCAAAATCACAATGCCGACAATTGCACCGCATATGGTGTTAACGTTCGTTATTTTGGGGCAATGAAAATCAACCAGCTAGGTTACGGAACGCTGGCAGTTCTATCCGTTCGTAGGACACCTAATGTTTCCCTCTACCAATAAAGCTGGAAAGACGCCATATGACTTTTACTGTGTTGTGTGTTGGTGCGAAATCATTCTTCTTAATAAACAATGTTGACAAACATTCTAAGTTAAAGAGGGGCATGACTCCTAAAAATAATGATTTCAGAACAATGTCCTTTGTCTAATAAATGTGTCTTATTAATATCAGCAAGTATGCCAAGTTTCTTGTTGTTTGTTGTTGTTGTTTTTTATAGTGTTGAAATCATTCTATTAAATAGAAATTGCGGTATGACAAGAATTATAAGTTAAAAAGGTCATAACTTCAAACATCTAGCTTTCAGAATAATGAAAGTTCGGCTTTTTAAGATTTAGGACGTATACAAGTTTAATAGAAGTTAATAAGCTTCTTTAAATTAATATTGTGTTATGGTATTTTGAGAGAGTTTCGTAAACATTAGCAAGATAACGCAAAACAAGTTTAATGTTCAAGACATGTGACAGGATCGAAATATTATGCAATATACAATATGCAAAAATAATTAAAGGTAGGTCACAAAAAATATTATGCAATAACTACACAGACTCGCGTCAGTAAATATACAGTAGCGGTACACGAAATAGTCGATAATATGCAAACTACCGTTACAGGTATAATTTTGTGATTTCGTGAATTTCATGCAATTTTATGATATAAATATAACAATGTTTTGAAGGCACACACAAAACACTACATATAGATGGCAGAAAATGAGTACAACAACGGATAAAGATGAGTGTAAGAACTATTTTCGTTATCTGAATTTATTTATTAACTATATATATTTTTAATGCTAAGGTCGGTTTTGTTGATTACAGGTATCTATCCCGAATTTTCTAGCAGATTATGGAAATATTTTTGTCACAGTATATAAACAAAATCACTGTACCCGGTCTTTCAAGCTTATACAATTCAATATTCACCCTGTCTTGTACATGCGCACGTTACTTCCGATCACTGTACCTTACTTGGGAGTCTTTATATTTTAACTTGAACCTTTCTTGCGATAACAGGAATTACACATCTTCTCTATTGTTTGTGAAAGGTCTATATTTTTCGGATAGACCTGTTAAACAAAAGAAAGTCCGTTATGAGGTCTATCTTTTGCACGTGCACAGGTCTGCTCAAGTCAGACAGACCCGGTCATGAACAACACGTGAAAAAATAGACCTGCCTATGCGCAGGCAATGACAACATGATATGCAATAGAAAATGAAAATGAAAATAAAATGTATATGATTGTCATAACATTCCTGTCTAAGACTTACAAAATCTGGATGTTTAATGAATGCACTTAGCAATTATTCAAACATCCCTACATCAAATATTTGAATAAAATTATGGACAGGGTATCAAAGTTTTTCAAAGTAATATTAATGTAAGCGGAACTTCTGTCATTAAATTCACAATATAACAACAAGAGCGATCAGTAATCACATGTGTCGCCTCATGATGGCCAATTTCATGTTGGGACAAATTTTGTGACAGACGGACAGACAGACGGACAGTGCACAACTAGACTTTGTACTGATCATTCCTGTAAAGTTTGGATAAAATTGCACCAGTAGTTTATGAGGAGTAGTCCGGACAACCTTTTGTGTATCTGGCAACACACAGAAAAAAACTCCTTTTTATCAAAGGGCCATAACTCGGCCAAAAATCATTCAACCGGAAAACCCGTGCAATATGCGCAAGGACTTGAGCTACAGATCAATCCTGTAAAGTTTCATTGAAATTGCATTAGTGGTATAAGAGAAGTAGTCTGGACAAACTTTAAAAATAAAAATTATTCAAGGGCCATAACTCAACCAAAAATCATTGAACCGGAAAATGCTGACAGTATGCACAACTAGACTTGGTACTGATCATTCCAGTAAAGTTTGGATGAAATTGCACCAGTAGTTTATGAGGAGTAGTCCGGACAAGCTTTTGTGTATCTGGCAACACACAGAAAAAGAAACTTTTTTATCAAAGGGCCATAACTCGGCCAAAAATCATTCAACCGGAAAACCCGTGCAATATGCGCAAGGACTTGAGCTACAGATCAATCCTGTAAAGTTTCATTGAAATTGCATTAGTGGTATAAGAGAAGTAGTCCGGACAAACTTTAAAATTAAAAATTATTAAAGGGCCATAACTCTGACAAAAGTCATTGAACCGGAAAATCCTGACAATATGCACAACTAGACTTGGTACTGATCATTCCTGTAAAGTTTGGATGAAATTGCACCAGTAGTTTATGAGGAGTAGTCCGGACAAGTTTTGTGACGGACGGACAGACAGACAGACAGACGGACAGACAGACGACGGAGAAGTGATCCCTATATGTCGCCACTACTCCGTAGAGGCGACACAAAAATGGATGCTCCAAATTCAAATTCCTGCATTCCCACCTGCGGGATCACTCAGATTCTTAAATTCCCTTTAATGCCCCCCTCTATTTGAGTTGGCAGCATTGCCGTTCTATTCTACCCGCGAAAAATCAAAACAGATATGCCCTGAAAACCGTCGAAGCAAGGACTTAGTCTCAAAGAATGCTACACAACAACATTAAAAGAATTTTATATAAATATACTCCAAACTTTGCTTTATAGTGACATGCATATACAAGTACTTAAAGTGGATTGGTCTACAATTGGCACATCTCCTATTATAATTTCAAATACCGATAGAAACGGTAAAAATGTATTATTAAAAAAATCTTGATTAAAAGAAATGTTAATAAAGTTATAGGTGATTTAGTATAAAAATTTATATGCTGAACGATCATTATTATTTATAATCTGCTATATAAAATATAATATCGGATCATGTATCTCAAACTTGCCAACAATATTCATATGCAAGTCTTTCGTAGTCTCCTGGGTATCCGGACATTTGCCCCCTCGGTAGTTTGCTGTGGTTGACATTTGCCCCCTTCATATCATTGGAGGGGGTTCATTTGCCCCCCCCCCCCCGTTTTAAAAAAGTTGAAATATTTCATTGTTAAATTGTTACCAAACTTCATCTCCTATTGTCGAAATTCCATTGTGCTTCAATACACAAACTTTCTCGCAAATTTGTGAAAACAAAATAACATCCATAAATAAATGAAATAGAACGTTTCCATTGTTAAATTACATACTTATAATTTATACAAAATATGCCCTCTGACATATGACAAGTCCTCATAGCAAAAAAAAGGAAGCAAACGTCCGAGGGGGAAACTGTCCGGCAGCAAATTTGTCCAGAAACAAATGTCTGATACGAAATACTATCAACATAATTATTTATTCTTTTACATACCTTCCATTACAGACCCATTGACTTTATTATTGACACATTACACACTTAGCTTTTTTTATTATTATTTCAAAGGGAAAAGCAGAGTTAAATGCAAATTATATATTTAAACAGAACGTTAATAAAAGGCGCTGTGTTAAAAGTAATCTTTGTGCATTACATCAAATGCAGCTCAAGCCAATAGTTTAACGGTAAGTTGGATATCGGCCTCGTACATCGATCTTTCTGTTTAGGAAAAACCTGGTCACGAATTTCATGAAACACCTCGAGCGCTACGCGCTCTCGGTGTCACATGAAATTCGTGACCAGTTCTTTCCTAAACAGAAAGACCTCGTACTCGGTCGATATCCTATACGTACACTTGTTTCTAAATTTTTTTTGTTATGCTGTCAAAAAAATCATTTGTAACTTCGGTTTTCCTGTTTACACCCAAGGAGAATAGCGAATATTTTGAGTTAAAGACTCGCAAAGCCCTGATTCATATTTCCGTCGTGACGATAATAATCATATAGTTATATATCCGTTATGATGACTAAGATTATCAGATTATATATGTCCGGATATGGGGAACTAGAGCTGTAGAGTAAAAAAATGACTGGTGAAACTGATTGACTACCATTTAATAAAAAGTACATTTCCTTTCTACATGCGGGCATAAGCTTCGTTTGTTCAAAACAAACTGGTGTAGCACATGTTTTCTTGGTGGCCATAAAATTTTGATATGAACTGCTGAAGACAACACATATTGAGATATTTATTCCATATTCTTATGCATGCAGAGAATTGTAAATTACTTGAGTTTAATCAGAAAAAAAATGTCTACCCGCTTAGCTCAATGGAGAGAGGATCGGATTTGTAATTCAGCGGTTATTGGTTAGATCGTCTTGCTAGGAGAAATTATCCCTTCGTGACAAAATTTATCTCGGAAATATCGTATGGTCATTTACTTCGCATCTCACCGCTGACTTAGAAATTATGTGTGATCGGTAGTCGGTCACTTTCGAAAAAAAGGTAATCCTCTAAATTCGGTTAGATGGGACCGACCGCCTGGATTTGACATAAAATGTGTTGAAATTTTCTTTAAAGCAAGCAACCAAATAAGTGCTGGATCGTGGAATACTGGCAACTTTACTCTCGACTATATTACAAAGAGGCTGTTTTAATATCCGAAGCAGTGCAAATAACAATTATAATCTGCTAAAATGCTCATATTTGCTGTAACATGTATTTCATTTCGTTTAAACGAAATATCTATTCGAAATAACTAAATCTTTTTTCGTTTAATTGAAATAAAGTAACCGTAAAACACATGAACTATGTGATTATGATGTTGGTAATTCGAATAAAATTCTTGGTATGTGTTGCATTACTATTGAGTTATATTTTCTTCTAAGCTGGCAGTTGTAATACAATAACAAGCATATATTGAAACAGCTTTATTTCTTTTCATTAGTTATCAGGTAATTGATATTGTTTTAAGCCTCTAATTTCTTACTTACGGAAGGATCTGTTTTCACGCTTTGATGGATTGAATTTAAACGGATTTAAGCCAATACCTTTGAGAGATAAACAGAGTTTGTTCTATAGGTTCTGTCAGAGCCACGGTTATTTATATATTCACGTGTCGAAACGTTTTTACAGTCTATCGATTGACAAAGTGAAGTTTGTCAATTTTTAAAGTTCTTCAATGAGATCAAACAAAATTTTATCTTGTTCGATCGCGCCATTTCATCACCATGTTCTGATATCTTAAAACACATCAACGTGTGTCTAATGGTGTTGATGTTTTTCCACCTTACTGCTAAAGATAATATGTTCATAAATTCACAAATTTAACATCATTTGCAAGCATAAACTCGTTCCATTTGAGTGATTAAAGAGAACATACAAAGTGAATGATAAGGAGTGGTTAAATGTGCAAATTTTATCAAAGCGATCGAGTGATGCTGCTCTTAAAGTGGTAAACCAAAGATATAAGCGATATATTTAATCGTTCTACCTACAGTCAGGTTTTAGAAATTGTAGCAGTTCAAATCTTTTCAGAGAAATAGTGGCATATAGAAATAGATTCCGTCCGTCCGTGTGTCTCTCTCTCTCTCTCTCTCTCTCTCTCTCTCTCTCTCTCTCTCTCTCTCTCTCTCTCTCCCTCTCTCTCTCTCTCTCTCCCTCCATCCGTCCGTTACACTTAGTTTCCGGTCAATCAAGGGATTTTGAAATAACTTGGCACAAATGTTCACCAAAAACGACGACGTGTCGTGTGAAATAAACAGACCTCTACGTCTTAAGTCAAGGTCACACTTGAGATCAAAGGTCAACATTGATATATTTCGTGTCCGGTTTATAACGTTTTCATCCATAAAATAAGGGATTTAAAAAAATAACTTGGCAAAATGGATCATTAAAAGTCTTGAAATTATGTTTCTTCAATATTTAATCATTTACCTATATGGTGGACAATTCACAACATCGTTTTATGCCAAACCTTACCTTGTAAGATGCAATATTTGTTTTTCAGATATTCTTACACAAGCACGATCCATGCTGCCATATGTGCGCGTTAATGGACACCCACATTTCCAGGTTCAAAGCCTTCTGGATGTACCGTGGCTGCTAGTCCTGGTGTTCGAACTTTTAACCACGCAGCCAATGTCGGATGACATGGGCCGGTTTGATACGCTTGAACGACAAGCACACGTGCTGCAGATGATACTAGACACACTGGAGCAGGTACTAAGTTGTTTTCTTTTTTTTTTCTTTTTTTTTTGCAAACGGCTAATAAAGAAGACTCGAGAAATTAATGCTTGATATATGAAAAAAATAAGTAAATAATATACTGTTCAAATACGTTTTGGGTTCTTTAGTCGGTACATTTTGGAATGTAAAAATAAGCTTAAAGAGCGTGTACACGTGAAAACTCGAGAGCTGTATTTGCTTTATTACATTTGGCCATTTAACATGTCAAAACTTTATAATAATATGTGTTAAAATCTTTTGTGGCTAAAAGAGTTACGTCCCTGACCTCTGAATAATTTATTATTTGGTTATTGAATTCCAACAAGGAAAGATTTATTCCAGTTTAGAAAGCTTTTTAGATAACTAATGGAAACTAAATGTTTCTCTCTGTGATTCTTTTCTTTAATGAGGATCATATTCAAATATAGGACGGCTTTTATTTGTAACAACCATACTGAAAATTCTCCATTTGAAGATAATGTTTGCTCGTAAATGTAATATTTATTTGTTTAAAGTGTATAAAGCTATAAACATATATCGGGCAAAAAAAATCGTGTTTATATTTTACAAAAGAATACTTCCAAAATGCTTGTATGAAATATATATGGTTGTAAATTTCCCTAAAAGCAAACGACTCTTACTAAGCGCAAAAAAACCTTCTTAAAATTGCAGAATAACATTTTGTTCTATTTACGTACAATATTCACGAGTGCCAACAAAACTGTGTTATATCTATGCCTTTAAATATTCTTATTGTTCTAATATTAAATTGTTCGTTCATATTAGTTTGTTGCTTTGGTAAAATGTGTACTTTGTGTAAAATATAGAATTAAATTATCTATGTTTAACTCAGATTGACTTGTTGTTTAATACAGAAGAAATATATCAAATATACATGAAATAATGACATAAAATAACAATTATTTCATTTTGTCATTTCTGTTAGACACTTAGATTACCTTTGACCCACATTTCCGGGATCGGTTTAGCTAGACTGGAGAGGCGACATCTGGCGGATGCGTTACAGATATTCTCTGATCTCGTTAAACATTGTTACCTTACACCGACAAAAGAAACAGCTGAAAGGGGAGGTAACTGTGAAATATTAAATACAATCATTGTAAGAATTGTTTCCCATGCATCAATTTCGACTATTATTTGTATGTTTTAGTTTTATTGTTATTGCCTTTCAAAACTGAAATATAATTTTCAATATTCAACGAGTTATATTTAATTATAAGTTTAAATTTGAAACGCCTGTGAGTCGCAATTCGGACTACAATGCGTGCCATTTGACTAACGGTACTGTGTATACATTTGCTATATTTCTTATTTTTAAAGGTTTCTATTTTAAATTCATATAGAATACAGGAATGCTGGAATCATTCATCTATAACTATATTCATTTAGACAGTAGTCTATAACATTATATTGTTAACAGCCGAACGATGTATTCTAATGTATCATTCAAATTGAATGTTGTTTTTTATTTGTTTATTTAATTTGTATTTATTTTTAGAGTTAGAGTCACCCGAAGGTCGAAAACTTTCGTTAAGTCAGTTTGAGAGCCCAAAGTTTCACGAGGTTGATTTTAGCAAATTTTCAACACCTGAATTAATCGTGAGTTTTCTTTATCACTACAATTTTTTTCATGTAAACCAATAGGCTGTAAAGTGCAATAATTTGTGTTTTAATTGTTATGTTATGTGCAATTCATTCGATGATCAACAAAAGGCACACGGCGCATAGATATAGTATGGTAACTCCGTAAGAATCGTTATCATAAAATTCTTCATGTCTTAACTCGAAGATACAAATGCATCAGAGAAATAAGCCTGCTCTGTGTGAGGTTCAAACTCTTGCCATTTTATGTTTGAAAATATCTTGTGGGTCCAAATCCCACAATGAACTTTGGATTCCAACGCGTGAGGAAGCTCTTCAGTAACTCACAAAAGGTCGGTGGTTTTACACAGGTGTCCGCGTCTATAGTGTCTGTATGACTTAAAATGAAACAACAAAAAAATAAAAGTTAGAACCAATTACAATGTAATACAACGCTCATGAACACAACCCTATTAGCCAAGAAATTGTGAGGTAATTGCAATTGGGCTTAAAATCGGAGCTGAATCTTCTTCCCCGAGGTATATTGTGCCAATGTTAAGGCCCAGTTACACAGACGGTCGGTCCCCAATCGGTCATTTAATTTTAAATTTACTCGCTGTTATGATCGGTTGTCATGCGTGATTTTATTTCTGATCTTCTGTGTAAACGCCCATCGGTGACAGAAAGCAAACTCAAACGGGAATGGGTCGATGATTAAATGCTGAAATACTTTTGTTTTTTATCGTTTGTAAATCGGAGCTAAATCGGGCGTAACGCTGATTAATCGGTGTTTGATAGCTAGTCATCAGTGGTTAAACACTTTCCGTCAGATATGGCCGGTGATTCATATTTGGTTATCTTTGTCCGATCGGCGATATCGGTGATTAAGAGCTTGCATATCTCGTGATATAGGTTGCCGTCGGTTATTTGTAAAATATTTTCACCGATCGAGAATTTTAAACGTGTTTAAAAATCCCAATCGGTAATTTTTCACCGATGAAACTTGTCTTTCCCCAATAGCAGTTGATAGGTGGAAAACAGGTGACCAATAGGTGATATCGGTGATAAATACGTTGTCAAGGTTCACTCCATAATTTGGCTAAAATAACTACCGATCAATCACCGATGGCTCTGTGTAACTGGGGTGTTAGAAGACTCTACCTTTAAAAATGAAGATATGATAATCAAAAACTATAATTTGATTAAAATAGTAATATGTCTTCGATCTCTTAATTAGAGCGATCTTTTAAATGGTGTCTGAAAAAAATAGTATTTGCATCGTTTTCTGTACCACAGTTCACAAATTCGAATTTTTGGTTCAAATAAAACAAGTTTATTAATATAATGTTAGATGATGCAATTTTGCGTTGTTATAGTTTTACTGGTTAAAAGTGTTGCTATGTTACATTTACTACTACCTTTCATGAACTGACTTTAACAGTTGTACAGTTGTACCTTAAGTAGGATTTTTCATTGCTCCTGGAGGATCTCCCCTTTTTTCTCGCACTTTGTCGTCTGCTGTGACCAAAAGTTTTGTAATTGGTTACAAGCAAGTCAAATATATTAAATTTTATGAAAATATTAAATGACATTTAATAAGAAATGAAAGGTAATTACGTAATTTATTCATTTGATAATCTATAACAATTTTAGATTCATACGTTCAGTTTATAATTCAAAAGGGCGCATACTGAAAGCCATAACAACGTTCACTTCGGCATCTTAAAGTGGAATGGCAAAACGGTGAATTGAGAACGACTGAAGTGCCAATCTAACTATTATATCTAGTTTAAAAACTTTCTTTGTTTTCAGACTGTCTTGTCCGCGAGCGGTGGTAAAGAAAAGGATAGAGACATTGGTAAGCGTAATTTTGTATACAATGAATATTGTTATTGCATTACGCACTATTTGTATGGTGTAATAGTATATAATATATGTATGTTGTCCGCCTCGTAAGCTCAAAAAGGAGAGCATCTGCACTGTAATCCAACGGTTGCTGGTTCGATTCTCGCACGAGAAGATTTCTTCGTGGACAATGAGTCTTGTGGCCATTTGTCTCTCGCCGCTTATTCAGGAATAATGTCAGATAAGTAGTTGCTCATTTGCGGAGAATTGGAAATTACTGGTTAGTTATCCAAGAAAGCTGGTAACAAGGATTGGCCGCCGAGATAAAACAAAATAAATAGGTGCAAATGCCCGATATATAATACAAACAAACATCATATGAGCCGCGTCACGACAAAACCAACATAGTGCGTTTGCAACCAGCATGGATCCAGACCAGCCTGCGCATCCGCGCAGTCTGATCAGGATCCATGTTGTTCGCTGTCAGTTTCTCCACTTGTAATAGAGCTGGTAAGCGAACAGTATGGATCCTGATCAGACTGCGCGGATGCGCAGGCTGGTCTGGATCCATGCTGATCGCAAACCCACTATGTTGGTTTTGTCGTGACGCGGCTCATATTAGTTTGGTCCTTCATAGCAAAACGAACTCGCAAAAAATTGTTAAAATGTAAATACTGTGGTAACATTGTGGCAGTGGTTAATTTCTTAGATATTATGAATAATTATTATCAAATCTACAGTGTAAGAATTTTTAATATGATTGTAGTTTTATTCGTTTTCTGGAAATTTAGGTACTACAAGAAAGAATGAAAGTAAACCTTCCTCCATAGTGACTGTCCGACCTGTTCCCCAAAACCAAGCTCGATCCTATCCCTCGGCGAGAGAACACCCATCAGATGTACATTTACCGGAAAGAGACGAAAATAACACCAACTTCCTGGGAGACAATTCATTATCAAGACAAGCTGAAAAGGAAGACAGTTTTCGTTCAAGCAAATCTTCAACTACTTTGGCGAAAGAAGTTTACAGGCGAGAGGAAAATATTGACAGGCTATTACATGACAGACGACGTGGTCCTAGACAAGGAGTAGACCTTGTCGATAAACATGAAAACTACAAACTTGCGCAAAAACATCAGATATTTGCACCTTGTCTACCAAGTTTATCTCTCCTAAGCCCTTCCAAAAAAGAACAGAGGAAGAAGTTTGTAAGTAGCCTTAACAAAGGTGTAGTGGATGACAACAAGAGAGATCATATGACGTCATCTGAACGAGCTGGGTTATCTCGCTTTTCGCCATATGAATTGCCTTGTAAACATAATGATTTAATAGAATATCCGTTGACAAAAAGGGTACCCGACCATTCACGAGACAAATTAACGTCTGCTGCTAAATCGGCAAATATTAAAAAGAAAGCAGATGACAAAAACATTAAACCAGCAATGTCTTTTCAGCGTTTATGTCGAAAGCCATCTGTTAAATCTTTCCGAAGTCCTAAATTATCGACATCAAGGCGTTATCCACAAAAAGATGCACGACAATTATCCTCTGCAACATCTGGGCCAACCACGTGTCAGAACAAAGATAATATGTCCGAACTTCGAAACAGAACAAAATCTGAATTGAAAACTAGCGTAAGAAATACTAAACAAACAGACGATATTCCAAAATGTCCTAGAAAACCACATTCTGCGACATTTAAACCACAACCAAGTTGTACTGGTAATATTAAGAAACCACCAACATATCATGCGAGACGGCCGTCAATAAGCGTCAAGTTCGTATCAAAAGGTGAAAGGCCCATTCAAAGAACTCGCAATGGAAGTGTACAAAGTAGACGACAAGCAGACGAACTTTATGTTACTTCTCCTTTTACCGACAGGGAAGAACCTGACGCATATTCACCTATAAAATACCACAACACGGAGGGTAACAGCAGAAGAAGACCAAGTGTTGTTTCAACAAAAGCCAGAAAACACAGTTTGGCATCGCCACAGTCGCCATATTATAAACATGACAGAAGCTCTAGGTTTAGTCGACCAATTAAAAGAGGTGAGCTTATTTTATTCCATAAATTAAAACAAAAGCACGTGCAATTCATGATTTATTTCGATACAGGCATTCATAGCTATTTGAAATTTAAGTGATTTTCTGTCTTTTTAATTTAGTTACTTTGAAACTTTTAGTTCGGACTGTCGAGCGGTTTTGCAGGAAGATATCCGCAACAAAGTTCTATCACTATTTCAAGGTTAACTGATTTTAAATATTGTATTGTATTAGCAAAGAAACCCCTAAGAAAAAAGGAATATTATCAAGTTATAATTATTATACATGTACTGGTGTTGCTGTTAGTTATATTCCTTGTTCTTGAAACAGGTGATGTTTCTCCGCAGACGACATCGCTCTGTACGTCTCTCAAGCTTCTAGAAGACTTTGACTATGTCAAGAGACGTTTGAAACAAATAACAATACAGAAAAGAGAGGTATGCCAATGTTCTAGAATTTTGCACAAGATAAGTATGTAGCAGTATGTATAGTTACACACTTTTTATACTGCCAACCAATGCTTTATGAAGTTTATCTTTAGATCTATGACAAAACGGGTGATATATTGCATAGTACAGTAAGGTGATTCTACATTTTAAAATGTATTTTTCTTTCATCAAATTTTAAATACATCAATTATTGAATTTTGTTGTTGTTTTTGTTGTTGTTGTCTTGTTGTTGTCTTTTTATCCCCCGCCGAAAAATTTCGGCGGAGGATATAGAAATAGTCTCCGTCCGTCCGACCTTCCGTCCGTCCGTCCGTCCGTCCTTCCGTCCGACATTTTTGTCCGGAGCATATCTCTAAAAGTATTTGAGTTATCAACTTGAAACTTCATAGGTGGATAGACCTTATTGAGGAGGAGTGCAGTGCACAAGAATGATAACTCTACCTTGCATGATTTTTGAGTTATTGCCCTTTGTTATTTTTCAAAATTGATTTTTGTCCAGAGCATAACTCCAAAAGCCTATGAGATATTAACATGAAACTTCATAGGTGCATAGATCTCACTCAGGAGGTGTGCACTGCACAAGAATGATAACTCTACCTTTCATAATTTTTGAGTTATTGCCCTTTGTTATTTTTCATACCTAATTTTTCACCTGAGCGGAGCATAACTCAAAAAGTGTTTGAGATATCAACATGAAATGTCATAGGTGGATAGATCTTATTGAGGAGGAATGTTGTGCGCAAGAATGATAACTCTTCCCTATACAATTTTTGAGTTATTGCCCTTTGTTTTTTTTCATGCTATTTTGTCCAGAGCTTATCTGAAAAAGTATTTGAGGTATCAACTTGAAACTTCAAAGGTGGATGGATCTCATTGAGGAGGAGTGCAGTGCTTAAGAATGATAACTCTACCCTGCATTATTTTTGAGTTATTGCCCTTTGTTATTTTTCAAAATTAATTTTTGTCCAGAGCATAACTCAAAAAGCCTTTGAGATATCAAAATGAAACTTCATAGGTGCATAGATCTCACTCAGGAGGTGTGCACTGCACAAGAATGATAACTCTACCTTTTATAATTGTTGTGTTATTGCCCTTTATTCTTTTTAATACTTAATTTTTCAATTCAATTTTTTTCTCAAAAAGTATTTGAGGTATCAACTTGAAACTTCATAGGTTGATAGATTTTACTGAGGAGGGATGCAGCACACAAGAATGATAACCTACCCTGCATTATTTTTCTGTAATTGCCCTTTGTTATTTTCAGCCATCAGTATTCACATAGGTTTCAAATCTGTAATCACTATAGCCATCAGTTTTCATTACCAAAAGACCTCTTAAAATGGAATTATTCCGCTCCACTACATATACATTCTTCCAATGAGCAAACACATTTGGCGGGGGATGGCCATGTTGACATGGCTCTTGTTTTCTAAGTAGAGTTCTGTACTTTACAGTATAGAGAAGCTATATGTGAACTCGAACGTGAAGAAGTCAGACTTGAGTACCTTCTAACACACGTGCAACAACAAACAACCCGTGCCCTGAACAAGGTATACATTGGTAAAATAAAAATGATAATAAAAGGATGTTATTGTTTGCACTATTGTTTGATACTGTTTTCTTTCTCATAACATGGGGCCATGTTTTTAAGGTCAGAGAAACTAATTTATTTAGATTTCAGTTTTGAGAGTTCTTTGTGTGTGTTGCAAAAATAGCATTTGTCTGCACTACAGCAGACTTTAATGTAAATTTCATGAACTGTGCATAAAACCTTACAAAAAATATAACTTGGTCTTCAGAAATTTAGCACATTCAAGGTAAATATTCTTTTTATGCTCCGGGCATATAGTAATTGAACCGTCCGTCCGTCTGTCCGTACGAGGTTAACCTAAAACGGCAAGTTGGATTTACTTTTTTTTTGGTATAAGATGTCAGTTTTATATGCTCGGTTTAGAAATAATTGTAGTAATCTACATGCTGACCTTTTCAAAAACCATTTGAGAGAAAATTCGACATGTATTTTTTTTCTTGTGAATTATCTTAACCTCAAAGAGCCATACACTTTGCAAAAATTAGAACACTTCATCCACTAAACGTCGCTATTTTACTGTGTGGTAGATGTTAGAAAAAATGAAAATGTATTTACTGCTGCAAGAAAAGTGCAGATGTTTAGGCCCTTATGGGTTTGTCCAGTCAGTCTGCATTGATAAAATGAAATGAAAAAAATGTTATGGATGCGGCCGTTTTTAGCGATTACTAATAAGAAATAATAAATAATAAGTACATTTACTAGTTGAACCCTTTCCCTCATGAGCATATTGTGAAAAATTGCCGTTTTCATTGAAAAGCCTACTGTTACAAGTTCAAACTGCTATGAAACTATGAAAAATGCTTCAATACTAATCAAACTTGGCACAAATGTTGACTGGACCATTGCCTATGTAACGACATGCTCAGTCTTAAATTTCCTGTTACCATGGCAACGAGGGGACATCTCAAAATTGCCAAAAATCACTATTTTGCCTTGATTTTTTTCCTTCAAAATTTATTTCAAATTTCTGCAACTTCTCAAGGGATTGAGATAGAGTCAAATGCTTTTCAGCGTTGGTTACACGTTACCGTAGGATCGACCTGGGGTCATTTTTAGCCTGTCACAAGTCAAAATTTTCTTGGCGATAAGGGGGACTACCGCCCCCCTTCAAACCCCCCAAACTGAAGGCATCCCCCTGATGTATCTTTTGGATGGTGGGCCGCGCCGAAAAAGTGCTCACTTTTTTAGCAACATTTCTCAATCGAAAAAATGTGTTTGGGGCAAATATAGGACATTTTTTCACTATTTGAGGCCTAAAAGAGGGGGGGGGGTCGAAAGTGCGTTGTTTCGCGTATATATGAGGTAAAGGGTTAGTTGCATGTGCATGTATTTTTCATACATTAATTGTTCAGTATAGCATAATTTGAAATTTACTTTACGAAAGAAAATTTTGAAACATAAAAAGATCACGAAATCCCATTAACGAAATTTTTAAACCATACAATGTTCCCCCATTTTGTAATTAATGATTTAGTAAGGAGTGTTACATACATATTTGAACTTTGCATTCTACGGTAACTCGAGTGATTGAACGTTGAAAATTATATGACCAGTTTGCACATTTTTAAGCCATTTATCTTAATTTGTTACAATATAAGAGCTATTCCCAATTAAAATTGTCATTTTTCATGAGTTGTATGTCATGAAATGGGCCAAATGATATTAATAATCTTTGTGTAATTATGGGATAACGGAAAGTAAGTTAAACGTATCGCTTTCTTGCGGAATGGGGGTGAATTTTGTTGGTTTCGATGATTAAATCATTGCAAAACAAACTTTACTTAAATAAAATGATGAGATGGGATAAGTAATTATAAAGCATTTTGAAAATATTTATAATTCTGGTTGTTTATTAGTTGTGTGTTGTTTATTAATGTCTTCCTCAACTTAAAGATTTGGTAGATGGTGTTGATAATGGTGTTGATGATGATGATGATATAATGATTGTGATTACAATCATTGTGTTAATGTTACCGGCTGAGGTTAAGATGATGATAATTATGATGGTGATGATAATAAAGATGATGGTTGTGGTGGAGATGATGTAATGATGATGATGATGATGGTGATGATGATGATGATGATGATGGTGATGGTGATGATGATGATGTTGATGACGTTGATAATAGATAATTACAACGCTTACGGTGCGGCATTGATGCTTGTTTATGTGTTGATAAAAACAGTCATAAAATATAGAAACGTATAATATCTGTTTGTTAATTAGTAAATTATTTATGATATTAGAAATCATAAGCAGTACTTTTTATGTTATTACAGGGGCCATCACAAAGAGTAAGTTCACAAGGAAGGCTCGTTTAGAGACGGGCTGAGTGCAATATATTTGGTGGATAATTAATCTAGGCAAAGTGAAATCTCCTGCATACATATTCACGAGATTTAAAACATGAAGTACTTTGGTTTTGCCAGTATTGTAAATTCTGTACAAACCAGGAAATGGTTTGCTGTTTTGCACACTTTAAAACGTGTTTAGCAAATTGTTCTCGCAGTTGGCTTAAAGACTTGAGATTTTCGTCAGAAATGTTCGTTACATTATGTTTTTGCTTATACATTTGTACAGTTGTCTGTCTTTTTAAATCAAGATTAAAAACAGGAAAACCATACTACCATTTGAATTTCTAGATAGACCATTCTTCCATGACAATGAAATCTGCAAACCGCTTCATAATAAAAAATTTAACGAAATATGTTAAAAAAAAACGTACATAAGCTTAGAATGTCTTGTAAATATTCAGTGAATTAGAAATGATTACATAAATAAATATTCTGTTCTTATACTACATGTATTGTGTCACTTTTGAAAAATACATTGGCATAACAAACAATTTTAATTTTTGTTATATCTAACCATTTGTCATTTCCATATACAATAACTATTTTTAAAATATTCGAACTGATAATGTTAAATTGTTTTTTATTCATGTTATTTGTAATTATAAGATTTTCAATAACACAAATAAAAATACAGTTTAGAAAAATGTCACATTTCAATTATATATGCGATTTATATGTAATTATTTGTATAAGTTATTCTGTTGAAGTTAGATTTAAGTGCTAATCATGTCAAATAAATTCCTGTCAACGGAAAACTAACCACAGTCGGCTCTGTGATCAGTATTTGAGCCAGCCGCGCCATGACAAAACCAACATAATGGGTTTGCGACCAGCATGGATCCAGACCAGCCTGCGCATACGCGCAGTCTGATCAGGATCCATGCTATTCGCTATCAGTTTCTCTACTTGTTATAGAGTTAGTAAGCGAACAGCATGGATCCTGATCAGACTGCGCGGATGCGCAGGCTGGTCTGGATCCATGCTGGTCGCAAATGCACTTTGTTGGTTTTGTCGTGACACGGCTCATTTGTATTGTCCTATCCAGCAAGTTTACGATAGAAACCTAATTGAAAACTGGCTGTTATAGTACATAGTACTTTTAATGAAAATAATGTGCTCAATCTAACGCAATACCGTACAAAATATGTAGTTTATCTTTTATCATTTGTCAGTGCAAAATGACACTGCAAAACAATGGAGTTAAACGACAGAATAGATGGCAAGATCCGTACATCATACCAGACAAAATTTCGGTTGATGTGCATTAGTAATGAACATCTGTATTAACTGCAATGGACATATACAACTAAATTAAACAAACTAAATCATCCACACACTGTTAAAATCATTTATCATAATATGTAGGATATGTCTTAATTTCCTAGAAGTCCCTAATAATTTAGATAAATCTTCTTTTTTAAATTAATGTTTTGAAATGTTATCGAGTTGAATTAACATAAACGTTTATGTTTGAGAGACAAACCTATGACCCCGACGACGGCTGTAGACCTAGCACGTAATTTCCACGTTGTTTTACATACATTATCTATATATAAACAAACGTGCAATACAAAAAGATACTTCATCAAGAAAAGGTATTTTCTTACCTAATCAAGATGTACCTCAATGACAAAATAAAAATTTGAACGATAATATTTTTTTTGTGTTTTAATATATTTTATTTTGTAAACACAATTCATATTTTCTTAAAAACTAATGCAATACAAACATGAAAAACAATTCTATATCCAAATTATTGAAGAACTAACTATATTGAACAAACATTTTTAAGGCATTGAATTTGTATATACATTTTATAGTTATGTGTCTTTTATCCATTTGTTATATACTAGGTAAAAGACATTAAACAAATTAAACAAGTAATTCATGGCAAATATGTACACCATACAAAGTTCAATTTACATTTGTTAAACCAATGACTTTTATAAAAACATCTTTGTTTATATAAAATTGCCTATCTAATATATCAAAAAATAGATATCATAAATATCATTGTCATATTTCATTTGACACGTTTCATCAATTCTCTGTGAAATATAATTTTATATACAAGGACCATAACTACATTTCGAGGAAACTCTTCAGGAACTATAACTAGATTTAATCTAGAATTTATCGTAAGTAAATATTGTCATTGAAATTCGTATTGTCACAGAAGAATTGTGACTAGAAAAGGCGGACGGATACATGCTCATAGAACTTCCTGTTAAACCAGGGGCTTACACATGACACGCCACATCGCATTCCCATCCTAATCTAATGCCTACCAATATTTTGCAGCTTATGTTAAATTAATCAAATTTGTGTCATACTAGCAGGTGCATTATAAAATGTTTTCTTTGCGCATGCGCAAATTTCTCATCAGCCATCAACATGTTAATAGATTTTTAATAATATTTCAGTATGATAAATACATTTCTAAAGAAAGGGAAAGTGGGAGGGGCTTTTGACATTTAACAATATTATACAGATATTTTTAATACACTCATTTTCGTAGTGTGCACAATATTAAAACTTGTACATTAAACCATTTTATTAAAGCTGACATAGTTATTACCCTTTAAACGATTCAAATTTACATTGGAGATCAGGTTTTCCTCCTAATTTTGATTGTTAATTATAATGTTATCTCCGTCTTCTAAAACCCATCATTCCCCGCCCCATTGGGCCTCTGCCCATAAACGGCGGCATTCTCCGCCTCATAAACGGTGGCATCATTCCAGGGCCCATCGGGCCACTCATTGGACCAGGTCCTGGTCTCATACCTGGACCCCCAATCATTGCACCCGGCCTGGGTCCCATTCCCATGCGACCTGGACCAAATCCTGGGCCCATTCTAGGATCTCCCATTGAAGAGCCACCAACACCCATTCGACTTCTATCGAAACCGGGACCACTCATTCCTCTAGCTCCGCCCATAAATCCGCCTCGTCCCGTCATGTCAGAGCGCGGGCCTCCCATGCCCGGCATTACACCTCCCCTTCCAGGCATTGACCCACCCATACCAGCCATTGCACCTCCAGGGCCAGACATCGCTTCTTCCATACCAGAAATCTCTCCTCTCATGCCTGTTGCTCCACCTCCCATTCCAGACATACCGATACCCGGCCCAGCTACCCCCATACCTGGCATTGTACCACCCATGCCCGGCATTGCACCACCCATACCAGGCATTGCACCTCCCATGCCAGGCATTGTACCTCCCATACCAGCCATAGCTCCTCCCATGCCAGACATTCCACCTCTTATTTCAGACCTACCTCCTCCCATACCACCCATAGCAGACATATCTCTACCCATACCAGACATCCCATCCCCCATTCCAGTCATCCTTCCACCTAAACCAGGTCCAAATTCAGGTCCTGTTGAACCAATACTACCTCCAATACCACTTGGTCTTCCACCCATACTTGTCATATCACTCAGTGGTGACATTCTGTTGTCCATACCAGTTCCCATTCTACCTGCCATTCCGGACCCGGTCATTCCGGTACTGCCTCCCATACCTCTCATAGGAGATGTCCCTCCTCTCATTTGTTGTCCCATTCTACTCGTATCAGTTCCTTGGGGGCCCATTCCCATATCATTACCAAACGTTCTTCCGCTCATATCTGAGCCAAAACCACCAGACATATCTTGCCCAGAACTACCAGTCCTCATTCCACCTCTCATCCCAGCACCCATGTCTGACATTTGAGTCATTCCTCTGTCCATCCCTAAGCCCATTCGTTCTGAACTAGAGCCTACCATACCTAGTCCACCTCCTGTACCAGACATAGAAGTCATTCTACTCCCCATACTCAAACCCATTCCCGTACCCATATCAGATCTACTTCCACCCATTCCACTTCCAAAAGGTGATGCCATTTGTCCTCCTAGATCTGATCCTGATCCTCTATCTCCTCTAAGAGACCCTCTGTCCATACCGAATTGGTTCATTCTGGATGCATCACGTGATGTGACAGACATAGAGCTTCCAAAGTCACGTGAATCAGTTCTTGAGGTAGAAGACGGTGCTGCAAAACTTTGTTGTGGTCCCATGTTCTGGCGAGGAAACATAGTGTCAGCTCCCATTACAGAAGACGATCCGCCACCAAACTGTGGAGATGAAAACTCAGGTGATAAAATATCTCCTCTTCCTCCATTAGTAGGCCCAAATCGACCTGAGCGGTCAGGTGTTGAAAAACCACCTGCACCACCAGATGCACTATCAAAATTAAAGTCTGTAGCACTCGCGCCAGACATATCAAACCCGGGAATTCGAGTGTCAGGAAATCTACTGTTTGTCATTTGGCTACCCCCTGAAGTCATACCTCCAAATCTTGAATCAGATTGAGCCCCGAAAGGAGCATTTTGAGAATTATCTGAGCTACTAGGAAATCCTGGTGACGAACCTGTTCCACCACTTGAAGAAAATGATCCTTGGGACGCCCCAAAAATGGCGTCATTAGCGTTACCTCTGCCCATATCAAATAGTCCATCCATGGCAGAAGCTGACCCCTGGTTTGAAAATGAGTTTGTAGATCCTCTTCCGGACATTGATGCCGAAAATGCGTCAGCAAGTGATGGAACGGATCCAGAAGATGAAGAAGTACCTGTAGGTCCACCAGATGAAAAGTCCGGTGGTGTGAAACTTTGAGAGTTTAGGCCAGTTGAGGTGAATCCTTGGGTATCAAACATGCTTGCAGTGCCAAAACCATCTGGTGTTTGTCCGCTTCCGGTTGCTGAAGAAGCAGACGATGATGTTAAGACATCTGTAACACCACCGAAGGCCGGTTGAAGTGGCATCGGTGTCACTCCTTCTATAGCTAACAGTTCAATGTCAAACAGCAGCGTTGCTGACGGTGGGATAGTGTGAAATGTTAAGGATAGCAAACATTATTAACAATAAAAAGTTATTACTACAGACTGCAGTTTAGCGAAAAAAAAGTAGTTGTTCGGTTCATACATTCAGCATTTTATATTTAAATCGTTATTTAGATAATTTCCATTTGAAAAATTTTGTTTATAATGATCGACGGCATTTCGTCAAAATCTATTTTGTTTATGGATAATTTCAATTGATATCATATCGTATCTGAAAAACTTCGGAAAATAGATTTGACAGAGGTTACTTTTTTAAAGAAATTGCAAAACATCAATACCAGTCAATTACAAAAATGGTAGGCTTTTTCCGGAAGGAAATAAGTTCACGATGATTATGAAATAAATTTTCTCTTGTTGTCAGTCTATTACATTTAAATGCAGTGATAGGAATTTCGACTTAACCGATGATGTCAGAAACGACAGATAATCATAGAAAAGGAACAATTAAAACTATTGCCAGCTTGGTTTGGATGAGTTTGTTTACGGACGTGAATAATTGTCCACTACCCGTCAAAAAGACGACTTTTATCTTCAAAAATAACGTCTATGACTGGATAATAGGAGGCATTTTACAGATTTGAAGAATACATAAATGAGCCGCGTCACGACAAAACCAACATAGTGGGTTTGCGACCAGCATGGATCAAGACCAGCCTGCGCATCCGCGCAGTCTGATCAGAATCCATGCTGTTCGCTATCAGTTTCTCTACTTGTAATAGGGTTTGTAAGCGAACAACATGGATCCTGATCAGACTGCGCGGATGCGCAGGCTGGTCTGGATCCATGCTGGTCGCAAACGCATTATGTTGGTTTTTTCATGACGCGACTCATACTAAGTGTAAGGTTGAAGATCAAGATAGAACAAAAAAGCACTTGTTAGACAAATTAAAGTAAAAACTTAACAGTATTTGATATTTTAAAAGGATATACAGGTGGGTATCCCTCGGCACCGTATCCATCTTCCGGAGCTATTTCTAACTCTGCCCTCTCACCAACAAGCATCTAAAAGTAAAGATATAAATGTTGGTTATTAACTTAAAAAGTTAAATTAGTTTAAGTGTTTTACAAGGTTTGAAATATATCAAATCTCCTTATAAAACATAACGTTGTGATTGCCAAAGTTCAAATTGGTTAGGTCTTTATATATTCAAGACGTCAACCAAGGGGGACTTGCACATGTGCATTTTATAACTCACACTTTGGTCTTCTTATATTAAATATTATGTTCCAAATGTACATTAACTATTTAAAATTAAATTTGAAATATCCACCATAAACTTGGAAATTTCGGGTATAAAGGTATTTAACATTCATGTCAATTCTCAAATATTCTGAAAGCTGCAACTTAGTTAGTACATATAAGTATTAGTAAAATTTCTTTTGCATATTAATATATACTATCAATTGATATTTTTTGTATTATATAATTGTATCTGACTTACCGAGGAGACGCCGGCGTCCCAACCACGAATGACCTCACCAGCGCCGAGTTTGAACTTGAACGGTTCATTTCTGTCTCTGGATGAATCAAACTGCTCACCAGTCTGTAGTTTTCCTATAATATAAAAACTTTATACATAAACCGAGTAATAATGGTTATTTTAATGGTTATTTTAATGGTTATTTTAAAAGTGTTTTTATTATTTCATTTGTCTGAGCCTAAATACCGTAAATCATGGGATTAAGACTTTTTTTCTAAAGTTTTTTTTGTTCACCCCCATGGGGTTTACTTGCTACATATAACATATCAATATTTTAAGACCATTTATCTATTACGACCACCTTTCTCACTTGTAATTGCCAGTCTTTAAAGGCAGGTAGATTATATAGAATGCACAAATGGACGTAATGGAAGTAACTTACGAGTATAAACAAAACATAGTTCTTAAACATAATTGAAATCCAAACAAAACAAGAATATTTTATTGACATCGCATAAATGCTTTTGTACCGTATATTTCATAAATATTCATGGCTTAGTAAATTACTGTAAGGCTTTGAATAATTGTTATTGCTTTGTTCAATACTAATTGACTTATTGATCATTTTCTTTTTAATTCACTTACCTGTGTAATGTACGACAACAGTTTGATTCGGTTGTGGGACAGGTCCTGAAAAGGCAAAATAGAATATTCGTCTGTTATCATATAAAACAAAGTATAATAAAATCTTCTTGACCTCAGTTTTAAAGAGTGTTTTGAATGTTTCTTCTTTTTTTGAAAGTCCATTATGGCTTAGAAATTCTTTAATTCTATTTCTCAGAACCCCCTCCCTTTTTTGTGCCCTGTTATACTTTCAAAAAAGTAATTCAATTGCAAATTATCTATCCCAACTTTTGTTTGCTTCTGTTGCTTTTTGGCAGTTAGTACAGTTATAGTGGTTTAGTAAAATTTGTATGGAAGTCAAAATACTACTTTGTTTACATTTAGCTACTTTTGTACAAACAGGTATACTTTCACCTTCAGTGCTACTTTCTTCTGGTGATGCATCTTGCATGTTCTTAAACCATCATTTAGATACTATAAAACTCATGATAACCCTTTCTAAAGATGGACATTTAAAATTATTTTCTAAGGCAAAATGTGCCTTTAATATAAAAATGATTTATTTATGCTATATTACTTACATAATTATTTGAAATGTATGTAAAACTTTCCTTCTATTGAAAGAGCGATAACTCTGTTAAGATTAATTTTTTTTAAAGGCTTAATTATTGCCTTTGATCGCATCATTATAATACAAAGGAAATTGTCGCATTATTCTAGACTTTGTATGAAACTGCAATTTTAGTATAGAACGACAACTCTTTCAACATCTGTGGGTTGATTTGCTTAAAAATGGCCCCATTGTTTATGTTCTATATGTGTGACGTGTGATGTTCAGAAAATTTTCGTATTAATCGGTTTCTGCTTGACATAATGCACGGAGGGTATCCTTAGGAGTAAAGCTGTAAAGTATAGTGGCTTATTTGGTACATTTTGTGCGTTGTCACATTGTCGCCCGGTTCAAATCGAAGGATTGGCTCATAAGCCAGTCGACATCGCGACAACGCGCCACACGACAACGAGCCGTTTGGCGTGCTTCGCTAGCTACAAAACGACAGCGCAACAACGCGCCGTTTGGCGATTTGTCGTGTTGTTGCTAGCTAGCGACAAGACAAAAAGGCGATAAAGATATAAATTGTGTCATCGCTATCGACAACGCAACGCGAAATGTACCAAATCAGCCACCAAAGAGAACCGTTCAACGATATATTGAAAACAACACAATTTCAATAAGTTAGAAGTTTCTTATTTTTAATTTTGCAGTTTTATTTTATGGAACACATACATGTAACGTTACATCAAATAAATTTAGGAGATGACACGGCTGTTTGAAAATCTGCAATGTAATGATAAAAAAACAGTTAATTTTAAGTTGCCTGCCTCATGTTATTTTTGAAGTTTATTGTTATTGTCGTTTGGTTTGTGTGTTGTTGTTTGTTATGGGGGTGTTGTTTTTGCTTTTCAAGGTTACCCTTTATATGACAATATTCGCGCATTACAAAAAGACGATATATGCCTTTAAAACTTTGCACGTGTCATCTTTGACGGCTCTTACATGTTGATATGGTTTTTATATAGGACGCATTGAAAATCCACTGGTGTTAACAAAATTTCTGATACTGGACTATTGTGCTTTATTGTGGTTTACTGTGTTGTTCTTGTTTTTTTTTTCTCAATTTCAAACGGAAAAAATGACGAAAGAAATCGTGTTTACATGATGTAAGACATTCGTTTCTTCATAAATAAATGATTACACGTAATGTATGTGCATGTTAGGTGAAAGGGTCAGTCATGTTATGACATCATGTATTATGATTTGAAACATAATACATCTAACATTTTTAAAAACATTGATATGTATTAACATGTGTAGATCTAATAATGTTAAGATGGATTGATATGTACATGTAATTCGCTCATTCAATGTGTCGTCTGCTGTAAAAATCATGTACATACATGTATAATTATTACGAATTGTCATATGATGAAAGCGTACATGTAGTAATCAGTGGTATTGTTTTTAATGTTTTAAGGAAGGACAGTCTTTTATATATATATTTATTATATATTTCTTCAATACCAGAATTCCTCAGGCAATATTTATGTTTGATCTTATGAGACCTTGATATGTATTTAAGACTAAGGTACTAACATATCAAAGGTATGCAAACTTCCTGGTCCTAAAACCACACACAGAACAATTATTACAGGCAAATTGTGATAAAAACTTTGTTTTACTAATTTAGAACACTACGTTTCAATAACATATTCACATAAAGCCTTTTTGTCAATCACTAGGTCATTACGGAATAATTCAAACACTGTCGTCTGCATCAATTTGATCAACTAAGCCTTACTTTAATTTTCTGCTATCCCTTAACCCTTAGATCTAAATGCATTTCGTATTTTGTAACAGTAGCAGATTTTCAGAGTAAATTACGAAAGACCGGTGGTGATATTTTAACTTCTTGAATTCTCGGATTCATTCTCACGAATTCACGATTTCAACTCCGTGAATTCACGATTTCAACATACAAAACACACGAATTCAAGATTTAAACTTCACGAATTCACAATTCCAACTCCATGAATTCACGATTTCAACATACATAATGCACGACTTCACGAAGATGAAAACTCGAATTCATGAATTTGAAATCGTGAATTCTACAGGTTGTACTCTAGAATTCATAAAATTGAAATGAAATCGTGAATTCGTGAATTCCTATGTTGGAAACGGTTAGAATTGTAAATTCACGAAAATTAAATCGTTGAAATGTCCCCACCGGTCTTTCGTATGAAATAGCACTATGTAGCTGTTTAAACGTCAAATGATCATGTTCATGGTACATTATTACAAGATTATCTGATGACAATTTTTGAGATCAGCCTTGTAAATATTTTACTCATAAATCAATCATAATGTAAATATTTTAATTACAAGAAAATATTTGGGTCTAAGGAAGGGAGTGGGTAATGTTAAAGCTTCAGCTCCTGATAATTATGCATTTTGTTGTTGTTGTTGTTGTTGTTGTTGTTGTTATTGTTGTTTGTCTCAACATACTTTTTATATGATTGAACTACATTGTGGCCTTTTCACTGTGGTACCGTTTATGCGAATTAATTAAAACAAAATCTATGAACATAAAATAAAATCATAAATTTTTATAGCATTCACATTATTAAAAATCATGTATCAGTAAATATTGTATCCGCCCTTTTGTTTAATGTTTATATTGGTAAAAACACATGATAAATTTATGGTAAATATGAACAATTGTCTTTTTGTATTGATATAAAACACAAAGGTTAAAAAATTTATAACAATTTTTAAACTCTTGTGAATTTTGATTAATTTTTTTTTCATTGACTTGTAATGTTTTAAAGACCATTCATTACCCTAACTTTGCAAATTCAAATTTTAATGGTTATTCAACTTCATTTATTCACGATTTCAAATTCACGAATTTAACTTCGCGATTCGCGTTTTGAACTTCACGATTACACGAATTCTTGTAGTTGAAATCTTGGAAGTTAAAATCGTGAATTCATGAAGTTTAAATCGTGAAGTCGGAATCATGTATTCGTCAAGTTGAAATCGTGATTTCATGAAGTTAAAATCTTGAATTCGTGCATTATGTATATTGAAATCGCGAATTCATGTAGTTTTAATCTTGGAGTTGAAATTTTGAATTCATGAAGTTGAAATCGTGAAGTAGGAATTATGTATTCGTGAAGTTGAAATCGTGATTTCATGAAGTTTAAATCTTGGATTCGTGCATTAGGTATGTTGAAATCGTAAATTCATGAAGTTGAAATCGTGAATTCGTGAGGATGAACCCCGAGAATTCAAGAAGATGAAATACCACCACCGGTCTTTTGTAAATGTCTAATGGTTTGTTTCTCTACTTTCGCACTCACTGGTGTCTAGCATTGTGTGGAGTTTTAAATAAATCCCTACGTTATTTTAAATATAAAGTTTCAATTCAAAGTACTAAATTTTATAATCCAGATCTGCTTACTAAGAGATATCAATTTCATAAATAGATACAAATAATCTTCTAGTTTCATGTCAATATTTGTACTTAAATAAGGTCACGACAGGTCTTTAAGTCTTTTTTATATTTAATCAATTACTTTATTTCTAATTAATGATTATTGATTACTTACGTAAATATTAAAAATGAACAAAACTAAAACACGTTTTTCAACCAAAGACATATTGGTATGAACTTGTTTGACAAAAAAGGTCGCATTTCTGCATAATAAATGAAGTTGCAGAATAATTAATTGAAAATTGACTTTTTTACAATCATATTTGTTTGTGTGTTTTGAATGAAATTTCAATACATGTTTTTGAAGTGACACGTGAGAATACAATCAGTCATCAGTATTGTTTATATGATATGTTACGGCCACATTTGTTCTCATCAGAAAACAGATTTGTATATTAATTCAAAACTATTAAAATTCGATATATTCAATCAAACATATTTTAGAATATATTAAATCCAATTAATAAAAGGGCAGTTCTTGTTTAGTTCTTGTTTAAATCACTGTCATTCTCCTTTCAGACTTTTGTAAATAATGTAATTGTAACGCTCTTGAATCAGAATACCAGCTTTATATAGGTTGTTTGCTTTTATTGTTTCAAGTTATTGAAACAAATGCCCATCAACATATGAAAAGATGGTCAATGACTATAAAAACGTTTCCCCTTCTTGTCTGAACATATATACATGTACATTTAGTTTGGCGTTACACGTATGAGTTAATAATATAACTCGTAAGCCTTAGTTGTTTATATTTTAACTCATTGTTGATTGTGATGAATTCCAGTACTGAACAATTATGTTTTAGTTGTTATTTTGGTAATTATAGTAAACTTATGTAAATGTTGTTTTATGCAATGCTGTTGGTAGTTGTACAACTCTAAAGATATCCTTTTTCATAAATGAGTTATTTGTTATGTATATGTTATGTTATTTGAAAATGTAAACTACGTTTTCGATGAAAGATGAATGCATGAAATGTTCCTAAACTAGCGAATCATTCATAAGTCAAATGACTATATGAAAAATGTTCAAACTCTAGGCCCCCAGGGGTGATACTACAGCCCCGGGGTTCTTACTAATTATTTAATCACCTCGTGTGAATAAATGTCTGGGAAGGCGACAACCTCAATTTGTCAACCTGTCACAAACTAAACACGGTTTTGTCTAACAAGAAATGTTAAATCATTGGTCAATATTTTCTGACAATTCTGTGTCTTTATTTTATAGGTTTGTCCATCAATATGTAAAACAATTTATGTCAGTCATTTTTATATAATTATTATTTCGACTCCTTTATAACAATAAATTTAATCTTTCTCTTTGATTTACAGTTGATTTATGTAGTATATAGTGTAGTATATAATTAACGATATTATATATCATATAATATATATAAATATCGCTTAAACAACTTCGGAACGTATCTACTTTTGTCGTAAATGATATAGAAACCAGCATATCTAATATTCTAGTATAGCCGTTCTTGGCTTGATTCTCATAAAACAAGTTATAACATCAAAGAACGAGTAAAAAATGAAATATGGAAATTTATCCTTTTCGTCAAAGAAATTCCTCATTTTATAACGAAATACTCATTATAGGTTAATAAAGCTATATCTTATGAAATATCTAAATAAAATTTTAAACTGAAATTATGTTATTTCCATAATTTTAGATTTAACATTGAATTTTTCTGTTATTTAACACAAGATAATTGTGCGTAAACAAAATAAAATGTTCTGTAAAAAAATACAGCTATTTTAACCGATTCCCAATATTTTGGTGCATGCATCACTCGCAAAGAAGGAAAACATACTAACATACTTCTCTTATACAGGAATTTTGGATTTTCTTTTTTCAAAAATAAAATATATATATTATGTAAATACTTTAACTGTCATGAAACTTTGATTTAAAAAATATAATTTTGAAAACAAATTTAAGTTTATATCAGTCAGTTTTATCGTAGTAACAACAACAACAACGCCCTTTTAATGTAACGGTCACATTGGTCACATGTATACGTCATGGGTAACACATTGGTCACATGTATACGTCATGGGTAACACATTGGTCACAGGTATACGTCATGGGTAACACATTGGTAACATGTATACGTCATGGGTAACACATTGGTCCCATGTATACGTCATGGGTAACACATTGGTCACATGTATACGTCATGGGTAACACATTGGTCACATGTATACGTCATGGGTAACACATTGGTCACATGTATACGTCATGGGTAATACATTGGTCACATGTATACGTCATGGGTAACACATTGGTCACATGTATACGTCATGGGTAACACATTGGTCACATGTATACGTCATGGGTAACACATTGGTCACATGTATACGTCATTGGTAACACATTGGTCACATGTATACTTCATGGGTAACACATTGGTCACATGTATACTTCATGGGTAACTTACAGACTTAAAACCTTTGCAAACTTGTATAAATTAACAGAAACAAGGCAAAATCAGAGGCAAATTAGACGCCCTTGCCATTTTGGGCTTATTAGTTATTTAATGTGATACTATGAAAAAAATGAAACTAATGACTGTGACGTAATACATTTTCGATATAGGCACTAAGTTTAAAAATCGTTTTTATTTGTTTGGGTCGTCAGACTAAACAAATAATGGTAGCGAAATTTCAGACCCTGATGCTGTTAATTGCAAAACCGAAAGTAGTCCGCTTTTTTGAAGCGGTTACTTCCCTTTATATGTACACTAACGCCGAAAAATTCAGGGGAGATCACTGCGTAAAGATGGTCAAATAACAAATAGTTCCCGAATGGTCGAAGATTTCTAATATTGTTTTATTCTTTATAAATATACATTCTTATAGTAAGCTCCATGATTATTTACAATTGCGTAGCGTCGTTACAAACCCTAATTTAGAATAATATGGTTTTCTTCAGGCCGTTAACATACAATTTCACCGTGGCCGAGGGGTTTGCACGCTCGCTTAGGAAGCGAGAGGTCTGGAGTTCAAATCCCAGTTAAGGCAACTCATTTTTTTTTCAAATTGTTTAAGTCAAATAAACATTGGATTGAATATCAGTGTTGCAATTAGTCTTATAGCCAATCTACTACAATTAAAATGCTGGAAAGCATTGGTGGCACTATACAAAAATAAACTGGTTTATAATCTCACAACCTTCACCTTTCTGACATTCTGAGACCCAAACAAATTCAGCGCCTTCTGTGCTTTGATTTATTGAATGTGTTGAAGCACCACACTAAATACCGTATTCCGGTATATACCGGACAAGGCGCTTGAATGATTAAATGCTAAAATCGTGCCTTTGCACCAGCCGAAATGCTCTTTAAAACGTCCAATTCATCTCTTAACACCGATTTATATACGATCTTGAATGATTAATGTAAGAATCGGCGAAGGAAAAAAGACGATATTTTACTACTTTGTGATCATGATTTTTGCAAGCATCTAGAGGTACTGCTCCAACACTGTAGCAAATTAGGACAATTTTGTACGCATGTTAAAAGATCATATCCTGTTCTCTATTTCATGAATGACTTGTTAAATATTTACCATGATCAGGAAGTAGAAGTCCAATTAGTAAATTTGCCGTTAAACAAAATTTAATTGCAAATTAGTGTCACAATTTTAAGAAAGTTGCATTTCAAACAGAGTAAATTGTGACAAAAAGTGAAACAAATTTATACTAAAATGTAGGGTTACTGACTAAATTCAGGACACATTTTGATACGTAATTTTTATCACTGATGAATAAGCTATGTTTACAAAATAATTATTTTTTGATAATTTGCAATTATCTAAGTATCATGTCACATTATGTATATAAGTATTTTCTTTCTTTAATGAAAATTACCTTGATACACTTAAGTGAAGTAAAATATATGTTCTTTTCTGAGTTATGATCAAAATCGCTCTAGTATCTAGTAAAAAATGGTGACAAAAATAGAATTTCTTATCATAACATTATTAGTTTTAAAAAATATATTAAAGGCATGGAATGCAACTAAATATTAGAAGCAAAGAAAATGCTTCAATGTGTTGGTTCTCTGTATATATTATCTTTGATAATGTAGCGTAAGAAAATGAAATGAATAACTCTTTTATTTATCATACATAAATTATGTGAAAATGATAAAAAAAAATCTTTTTTTAATATAAAAACGCAATTATTTTTTAAATAAAATTCTGTGAAACTTGAAAAAGTTAAAATTTAAGTTTTTTTTCATTTAAATCTACCTTTTTACAATTATATAAAAAATAATATTTACTTACCAGTTCCATTTTTTATAATTGTTTTATAAACTGTGCCGGCATTTACGCATATTTCAGTAGTTAAAAACACCGCAATAATTCCATATAATATACGCATTTTATTTTAAAAGTCAGTCAAATAATCAAATATAAAAACTAGTTTTAAACGTTAAAGCGTACACATACAAGTTTAATTATGGGAAAACGTAACGTAAGTCTATTCCAGCTGTCAATACACTTCTGATGACGTCGTGCATTTTTCCCGAAAGAGACACCGTCCCATTCATCACGTTTTGATCGAAGTCGTTACATAAAAGTTTTACGGCCTGTCAAGCAAATTAATAACTGATCAACGGACGCTATAGTATACATGTATTTCGTAAATTATCATTTTAATATCAGTTTTATGACATATAACTTATTGTTTTGTTATGTCGACAACGATGTGCGTCTTTGAAAAAAAAGTAAAATCCTTTTAACGACAACGTTTTTAGCTAACTTTATCTAGTAACGTCAACTTTTAAGGGAGGAAAACGTTGTAAATCGGTTTTTTGTTGTTATGGATGAAACGGTGTGATGGTCATTTTAGGTAACATGCAACAGTTTGATGGCGTTTTCATACAGTTATTGTCCTATTCATTTCCCAATGATGTGTTATGATTTATGTGTTATACTTCTACATAGCCCACAAATCAATTTTTATCACATTTAATCAATCATATCTCATTTACCCACTCTATTATCCATATCACACTTGGCCAAATCAGATCACACGTGATCAAATCATGTCACACTTGATCAAGATCATACTACATTTGATCAAATCATTTCACATTTAATCAAATCATATTACACGTGATCAAGATCATATCACACTTCAAATCATTTCACTTGATCAAGATCACACGTGATCAGTTGCATCACATCTGACCAATCACGTCATATTCGATATTTGATCATTCATATTTGATCAATCACATCACACATGATCAATCACATTACACTTGACCAGCTATATAACTTGATCATTTAATCGCAATTGACCGGTAAAATTACGTTTGACCAATCATGAAAAAAATAACACTTGATTGATTTTTGACTTTGTGAAGTTGGAACAGTAAACCTACATGTATATTAATGTTCATCTGTAATAAGGAAGTACAGTAAGCGAAAGTAAGAAAGTAAGTTTCCGGGAGGGGGTAAACAATTTTTGTTCGATCATTTACATGAGTATGTATGCATTTAAGTGTGTGAATTAACCACGGATATGTTTCAATGTCCTGTCGAATGTTCTGCAAGCAGTAGAACTATCGCGATAAATACTGCAAAATTAGTAATTAATCGTACATAACATGTAAAGTATTACTTGAGTCTTAAGGTAGTACACCCCTAATGGGCACTATAAGGAATTGTAAATTTGACAACATAGGACTGTTATATGCCTTAAATGTCACCTGTATGCAAAATTTAAACAAAATTTACCGTGTGATTTATGAGTTATGGACATTTTTATGAACTAAAACTTTGCCATTAAAAAGGATTTTTTCAGAAATGAGGAAACTCTAAATAATTCATACTATCATCATTATGAAAATTGTTTTCCTTTTGCTCATTGTTAAGAAATAAATAATGACATTTAGGTAACAAATTAAACAAGCAAAATGATTGTTTTTAAACGAAATGTTTTTATTATGTATAAAAATGTAACCCTACCCCACCCACTTTTAACACTAATTTAACAATTTCCCTATGTAAAAAGCCTTATTTAAAATATCCCTAAAATTTTCCAAAATGAGGGGCTATTTTCAAAGTTTGCCTAAATTTTCTTTAATGTATATTGGTTGGTCTTGCAAAATATAAAATACTTTTACCGTTTAGTTTTTATTTTATTAAAGTTTGAAAATATCTGGTATCATATTTGCTATTAAATCTGGCATTATTTAGTAAATAAATACCTACAATAATTATATAATTAAAATAAAACACTTTTTTCTTCCATAGGGGGTCTGTGAGATTAATAAAAAATGTTAAAAAGAAAAAAAAGAAAGAAAAAAAATTGCCCCTTCTGGGGTTTGAACCCACGCCCCCTCAGTTTCAATACACTTTACAGTGATTTTAGCCTATTTGAATACTCTTCAAAGTGGAGACAGTGCATTAGGGTGTACTACCTTAAATCATTTTTTTTTTTCTTAAAATATTTGTACATTTTTCTCAAGTTTGATTTTCTTGAACTATTTTGGCTCATCGAGCCTTGTAGTTTTAATTAAAGTGTATCTATTCAGCGCTCTAAAAGTAAAGTTTTATATACAAAATATGCTTATATTTTCCTGAGAAAGTGATTATATTGAGCTTTCGACCGTTTCCGTATACAAGTCCAGTACGTATCTGTAACTTAATTTAAGCTGCTTGACTGTTACGAGTATGCTTGCTGGGCTATTAGGGACCTTTTTAGAGGCCTACATGTAAATCTTTTATGTATCAGTTACTAGTATGGTTTTAATGCCCTTACAAAGTGATATTAAAATGTTTCGACCATTTCCGTATGTCTAGTAAATGACACTATTGCCTGGTAGCTTTCTAGGCTGATAATCTGCTAACTTCAGGCTGCCAACTTCACAAACATGTAATATCCTTAAAATAATGTGCTAAATGGCTAATGATAATGGGATCTAGGTTACAAACCCATAGTGTGAAAAAAATGGAATGTAATCGATCTTATTGCTCCAGGAAAACGTTTAAATTGCTATATGTTATAAAGAAAAATGAAAAAAAACGTGAATACAATTAATCACATTATTTTATGGACATGTACCTTTATAAAAATATATTTAGAGCTATAAGATCTTAAGCCAATATGAGTGAGTATGTAGGATAAAGAGTAATCGTTATTTTAAGTGCGTCATTCTATTATATTAAATGTTAAATAAAATGTTTCTTTATCTGGTGTAAAGAAATAGAAAGGCAAATTTCAAAGATTTTAGCACCAATTTAAAAGACGTAGTCTGTCAATCATAAAGAAAATGGAAAAAAGCACAACATAGCGAGAGATCGTGAACCTTCTCAGATGAATAACCGCCTAATGTCATCGTTACATCTTGTATATGTCCAAGAACAACAATATTTTTAAACATGTAAGAAATATTGATAATGTTGTTTTAGTATCAAATCAGAACAAGGCAATATTATTAAAATGTATATACATGTATACAAAGTGATCAATTTCTTGAAAAATATCTTTTTTGACGTTGTATTAAAAATAGTAATAAAATATTACTCCTACATGTACGGTCGGTCGGTCGGTCGGTCGGTCGTTCGTTCGTCCGTATGTTCGTTCGTTCGACGTTGGAAATGGTTCGTTCATTCATTCATTTGTTCGTTTGCTCGCTCGTCTGCTCGCCCGCTCGCTTTCTCGTTCGGTCCCTGATTGCTCTTTCTTTTGTTCGTTCGTTTGTTTGTTTATTTGTTTGTTTTTTGAGGATGGTTGTTTTTTTATATTTAAAAAGGTGAAAAGTTAACACTTAGTTAATTCTACATGTATGTCAACGAATTCATGAATCATCACAATATAATGTCTTAATGCATTCTAAGAAATGCACATTAATTTAGTTTAAATCTAACTCATTGTTTTATAACTTAAAATATTAAACGATTCAGTGTCTGTTATTTTTCTTGGTTTTATTGTTAAAATTGAAACAATCATATCTGCATTACGCCACAGGGATAATCATTCTATCCTCTTAAAAGTTTTCTTTTCTGACAAGAAATTTATATTTTTTCAAAATGATTGAAAATTCTCATTTATGATAATATACATGATGAGGACATGCTGATGAAGGAAATGATTGTGATTTATTACTACAGCTGTATGTAATTCAAACAGAAATGCAATTTCTTTAAAAAGTACAAAGGCTAAATTTATCTGCAAAATTGTGCAATATTTCAATTTTACACTTTAAAGTCAGAAAATCGACAAATATATTTGACAAGTGGTAAACCACACACGTCGCTACTAACGTATCGACGTTTTCACGTCAGCGTAAACGAGAAATGAGCCGCGTCACGACAAAACCAACATAATGGGTTTGCGACCAGCGTGGATCTAGACCAGCCTGCGCATCCGCGCAGTCTGATCAGGATCCATGCTGTTCGTTTACCAACCCTATTACAACTAGAGAAACTGATAGCGAACAGCATGGATCCTGATCAGACTGCGCGGATGCGCAGGCTGGTCTGGATCCATGCTGGTCGCAAACGCACTATGTTGGTTTTGTCGTGACGCGGCTCAAATTGTTCAACAACCGTCTTGTTTAATATAAAAAAGGGGTAAATATATGTCAATAATGTGATTCATGATCAGCCACTATCTGATGCACTTAGATTAAAGAAAACTGCTATGTACATGTATATACACAATATAACCATTCTTAACATGTTTGTTGTAAACAATGCTTTTGTTTTTAGTATAGTTTTATTTTCTTTGATTTCAATAATTGTAACTATACAGACGAAAGTTTCATTCATCATTTCATTTTATTGTCAACTTGGGGAAATAACATGTCCGACGGTCATTAACATAAATAAAAGACAAATTAACTCAATAATTTATCAAAATAAAATAGCAATAATAAGGTGATAAACAAATATCGGGACGTTCAAAGTACAAAATGAATTGCCTGGTTATTAGTTACTGAATAATAATTGTATATGAAATACAATGCATTAAAACGTTTTCATTTTGTTGACATAGATGAATACGTATGTGCATATTTTATTTCAAATTTTCAAATTCAAAGCCTATGATTTTATTTCCAATTCAAGTAGTTGCAATATATGTGTACTATTAATAAGGGATGTAAATCTGCTTGTGCATAACGATCTCGACACTATGCTGTGGAGTTGTCCCCCTTTTGAACAAAGAATTATGTCTAAGAATGGTTGTTATACGGTCTTTGCATCTATGTTTTATAATTATGTATGTATGTGTATAGATTAGACTATAATAAAAAAATAAATATGATTCTCTTTTTTTGAAATGCATAAATTAAATTATGCAGTTGTTGTTCTAACGTATTTATTCAGCATTACAAAAAAAACTGGAAAATAAGAGTCACCAAAATTACATTACCATTGCTGACTCGCTTTGATTGAGTCTGTACATGAGGGGTAATTAGGAAGTGCAACATCCCTCACAGCCCATTACACCAGTTTGAGCGGTACTCAATTTTGTCTCTAAGGAACAAAAAATATAACAAAACTGAAGTGAAGAACAGGGCAACTTTTTACAGCTGCGCTT